CTGAGGCAGGAGAATCGCTTGAACCCGGGAGGCAGAAGTTGCGGTGAGCCAAGATCGCACCACTGCACTCCAGCCTGGGCAACAAAAACAAAACTCTGTCTCAAAAATAAAAATAAAGGCTGAAAATTGTAGAGGAACTTATAAAGAATATGAACAAAGGTATCTATATATACATCTATCTATTCATTTCTGGAATGGCAAATTGTAGCGTGAGAAGCTCAGCAAATCATTTCCCTCAAAAGGAATAAAATGGACAATTAAAATACTTGAACCATTTAGGATTCTGGAAATTGACCAAAGGCATACAACAAAGTGAGAAGTATTTATCCAAGAAAAACTCCCGGACCAGGAAAGAACAGTGTGTCTGTGATGTTTTAGCCCAGAGCTGCTCTCATCCCCTTCCAGCTCCATCAGCATGGCAGCTCTGTCAGGGCAGGACAGGTTTGAGGGTTACCTGATTTGGAGTGGAATGCAGAAAAACTCCCGTGCTCCTAGGCATTGCTAGAAACAAAAGGAATCTCAGTAGCAAATGAATGGGAAAGGCCAATGCAGTTAGCCTAAGGTTTTTGTTCTGGTTGGGGCAAGCAAGAGATTGACAGACAAGCCAGAAACTTAACAGGGAGATTCACGGAATGAAACAGCCATAGTGTACTTGCAACACATCTCTGGTGGCATGGAAGGATGCATGCAAGAGCAAGGTTGAGCATAATTTAAGAGAAACCAGAGAAAGCCCTAGCTACCTCTGAACATTTCTGACTAAACGTGAGGCCTTAAACATAAGACCTTGCGTGAAGTAAAAGCTGGGAAGGCTTGTAAACTGCATAAACTTTGAATGTGTTCTCCAGTTTACACATGGATCCACTGGCAACACGTAGAAGCCCTTCCTAGTCAAATGTATTTGGGTACAACCTCTGACAAATCATTGGCTGACCACTAAACTATACTGACACAGGGTTGATCCTAGGAAGCCAGGCTTAAAAAATATAAACAAGATTTTAGAAATACAAAACTAAGCAAAGACATCAATGACTGTGCAACATGGGGAAAAGAGCCTCCAAAGAATTAGTCTACACCAATCACTAAACAAACAGAACATCAGCTGCAACAACTACCACCTCGCTGGGTCAGAGAGATCAGATCAGAACCCAGAGGTCTACAATAATGTTATCTAAAATGTCCAGTTTTCAACAAAAAATTACAAGATATGCGAAGAAGCAGGAAATAGTGGCCCATTTTCAGGAAAAAGAAGTACCTTAACTCTACCCCACTAGATGCCAGAATCACCTCCTACCCCCAGTCACGACAACCAAAAATGTTTCCAGACATTGCCAAATGTCCCTGAAGGGAGGAAGGGCAAAGTCACCCTCTGGCTGAGAACTACTGCTCTAACGCTAGTTATCACATAGTGTGATACTGGGATAAGACATATATCAATGGAATAAAATTAAGAGTCCAGAAATTAGTATCAGTTGACATTTCACAAAGGTGCCAAAGCAATTTCTAGGAAAGGGATAATCTTTTCAATAAATACTGAGATAACTGGATATTCATGCACAAAACATTGTTAGACCCTTCATGTACATGAGGAATTAACTGAAAATGAATCACAGACCTAAATGTAAGAGCTAAAACTATAAAACTTTTAGAAAAAAATTTAGGTCAACTCTCAGTGACTTTGGATTAGGAAAGGAAAGCATAATCCATAGAAGACAACACTGATAACACTTCAGTAAAATTAAATTTTTCTGCATGTCAAAGACATGAATAAAAAATTGAAGACAAACCACAATCTCAGAGAAAATAAATATAGAATATATAAAGAACTCTTACAACTCAGTAAGACAATTCAATTTTTAAAATGGGCAAAATATTGGAATAGGCATTTTGCCAAAGACATGAACAGCTACTATCACAGATGGTCAACATCATTAGTCATTTGAGCAATGCAAATTAAAACCACAATGAGATACAACTTCACACCCGTTAAAATGGCTATAATTAAAAAGGCAGATAATAAAAAGACAATAAGTATTAGTGGAGATGTGGAGAAACTGGTACCCTTGCCATCATACATTGCTAGTGAGAATGTAAAAACAGTACTATGGAAGACAGTGTGGTAATTTATTGAGAAGTTATATATAACTTTACCATATGACTCAGAAATTCCACTCCTACGTATATACTTGAGAAATGAAGACATATATCCACCCAAAGACTTGTATGCAAATATTCTTAACAGCATCATTCATAATAACCAAAAACTGGAAACAACCCACATGTCTATCAATTAGTGAATGGTTAAATATGGTACATCCATACAATGAAATTTGTTCAGCAGTAAAAAGGAGTAACTCTTGATAGTTGCTATAGCGTTGATAAACCTTAATTGCAAAACATTATGCTAGGTTAAAGAAGCCAGATGCAAAAGACTACATACTGTATGATTTCATTAATATGAAATGTCTAGTTAAAAGGCAGATCTACAGAGACAGAAAGCAGACCAGTGGTTACCAGTGGCTGGGATGGAAATGGAGATTGACTGTAAATCAATAAATGGGATCTTTGTGGACTGTGGGATAGTTGTAGTTTTATAAACTTACTAAAAAATCATTAAATCATACACTTAGAGTGGGAATATTTTATGTAAATCACATCTCAATAAAACATTTTTTAAAAAGTTAAACAAGGAAATTGCAAGAAATTGTTATATCCTTACCATATAAAGATAACTGCTATTAACTTTTTGTATATATTTTTGCTGTGTATCCAACAAAAAGTGACGTCTGCCATAGTTTTTAAACTGCTTGGTTCACATGCATTATCAATGTATTTGCATATTAATTTTTTTTATAACCACAACAAAAATACACGTCTTATTTCATAGAACCATGAAGGATAACACTGAAAGACTATCTTAAAGATCATCTAATGCCTTCATTTCATCCTCCCTTTTGGGTTTCAGTTTCCTTGTGCCTAAAATGAGAAGGTATAATTAGATGTTTTCTTGGCTCTTCACTGCCCTGTTTTAATTGCCCTTATTATTTTTTTTCTATTCCTTTAGAAATGATTACTCCAATCTGCTAACAAAAATACGTAAAAACAACTAAAGCTTTAAGCTAAATTTGGGCTGTCTGGATTTTTCTCATTTAATTATCCTAGAAATCCTGTATTATCCCTCTTTTAGAGGCAAGAAAATTGCGATTTAGTAGGGTTAAGAAATTTGTCTTAGAAAGTAGATTCAACCGGGCGCGGTGGCTCAAGCCTGTAATCCCAGCACTTTGGGAGGCCGAGGCGGGCGGATCACGAGGTCAGGAGATTGAGACCTTCCTGGCTAACACGGTGAAACCCTGTCTCTACTAAAAATACAAAAAATTAGCCGGGCTAGGTGGCGGGCTCCTGTAGTTCCAGCTATTCGGGAGGCTGAGGCAGGAGAATGGCGTAAAAACCCGGGAGGCGGAGCTTGCAGTGAGCTGAGATCCAGCCACTGCACTCCAGCCTGGGCGACAGAGCGAGACTCCGTCTCAAAAAAAGAAAAAGGAGATTCAAGGTTACCAGGTGACATGGTTTGCTGTGTCCCCACCTGAATCTCATCTTGAACTGTAGCTCCCATAATCCCCATATGTTCTGGGAGGGATTTGGTGGGAGGTAATTGAATCATGGGGGTGGGCTTTTTCCCGTGCTGTTCTTGTGATAGTAAGTCTCATGAGCTCTGATGGTTTTATAAAGGGCAGTTCCCCTATACAAGCTCTCTTGCCTGCTGCCACGTAAGACATGCCTTTGCTCCTCCTTTGCCTTCTGCCATGTGAGGCCTCCCCACCCATGTGGAACTGTGAGTCCATTAAACTTCTTTTTCTTTATAAATTACCCATTCTCAAGTATGTCTTTATTAGCAATGTGAGAACGGACTAGGAGTTGGGGGAGGAAAGGGAGCACTGGGGAGTTATTGTTTAATGGTTACAGAGTTTCTGTTAGGAATGGTGAAAAATCTGGAAATAGGTAGTGGCAATATGTTGCACAACATTGCTAATGTAATTATTAATGACATCAAGTTGTACACTTAAATGGTTAAAACAGTAAATTTTATGTTAGATATATTTTACCACAATAAAAATAGAATGAAATTAACTTGTTAGGTCAACCAAGAAGGGTGCAGGCTCACTCACTATCTGAACCATTCTGAGCACTATTTGCATAATGACAGTTCCTTTGCAATCCAATGAAATAAAGATGGGTATTTCAGTTATCTGGCAAACAAAGAGAAGTCCAGATTTTATCAAATTATAGTCACTTAGAGCTCCTTATTTTTTTATTTTTTTTTCTGGTCCTGTTTTAGTTTTAGTTGTTCCGGAAAATGTAAGTCTGCAATTAATTTTGATACATCCACAATGTAATTTCTTAAGTTTAAAAATTTTATCAAGTTGAAATCCACTGTGCCAGGAAGAATTAAGAAATCAAGGATGTAAACTGGCTGTCATTTCAGAAGGTTTTTACCACTACCTTATTTGATGCTCCCTGGGTAAGGGGTTTTAAATATCCTGTGCTTTTACAGTATTGACAGACTAAACCACTATCTATAGTCCAGCTGATACTATTGCTCAAGCCTTTTGGGCCTATATTTGCCCAAGAATCACTTAAGAAAGGTCAGGTCAGATTTTAATGTGACAGAATGAGGTCCAGTGACTGAGGCAGTCTTTAAGCTTAATGATCTCAGAGGCTGGACTGGACTAGCTCTTAGAGATAACATTACAGTAATACTATAAGGTTGTCACATAAGTCTATGGTTTGTTTTCTCAAAATAGTTGGAATAAAATACGACTCTCTAAGCGAGTTCTTCATCTTTCTGTAACATCAAGAATGTAAAGATTAGCTGATCCAGAAGAAAGACTCTCTGAACGAGAGACTGAAGGCCACCAGTTACTGTAAAAGCCAGAGTTGCTCTTCTGTACATAGGGAGAAACTAAACTGTCATCAGTGGGTAAAAATGAAGGCTAAACAAAGAATTTTCACTTAAAGAACATCTTTATTTGAACTTTAATATACAATATTACCTTTAATTTATAAAAACCACATACTAGAGGACATGACTGGAAATCAGTTCAGGAGCAGCCAGTGGGTACCAATTTAGGAGATTATACTTACCCCACTTATTAGTTTAAGAAAAAATTCTGTCAATGAATTTGAGACCAGTGATATTGAAGGATGGCATTTCAACTTCCAAATGCAGTAATTAAAATTGAAGATATTTTATTTAATTCAGCAAAAACTTCTAAATTTTCTTTAAAAAATATTTTTTTCCCAATGAAGAACTGAGCTTATCTTTATTATGTTTTCTGGTATACATCTTACAGTAGAATTTTGTAGAAATCAAATAGCCACAAGATATTTGCAATTGTTTAAAATCCTCTGCATATTAGTATGTATGTGTATGGGTGTGTGTGTGTGAGTCCCCACACTTACATTCACACCGAGCTGAAGCAGCCTGATAGCATGTTGGACCTGGAAAGGCAGTTCATTTATAATGTGGAAGACAGACAGTAAGTCTCTGCTCCCTCTATCATTTTGAATACAGGCTTCCCCTCCTCTAAAATTTCCCAAGATAGTGAAATATTTGACAAACTTCTTAAAGAAAAATCTATTATCTGTTAGCATGATTGCTGCACTGCAATGTATCTGCTAGTAATATGGTGTGTAATTTCACAAGCATTTTATGATTTCTGCAATTGTTAGGCTCAAACCAAGTTTGAAATGGATTAGCTGTTAAATAGTGGAAGTTTAAGGATGAGGTATGTTTTAGTTGAAAATGATGCATATAGACATTCTGAAATAATGCTACTGACTTGTAAAGGAATTGAGGAGAGTTACGCAAGAGAAACGGATTCTCCTTTTGGATACACCTTTTCTCTGCACTCCTCAGACTCAGGCTATTCTAGAGGTAACAGGGGCAGTACCGTTCTGCAGTCTAAAAAAGGAATAGTGGCTGCCAAATAGCAAATGAGTCACATAACCCATTTTCTGTTGCTTAGAATTCTTCAAAAGTTTGCTTTCTGCAGCACAAAGATCAAATATTCTATCATATTCTTGTTGTAGAGCTCTAAGAGTACCCAAGTGGATGAATTTCTGCAGCTCCAGCAATCCAGAATCCTGGTCAATGAGGGTCAATGAGCATGAGAACTTGGAGAATATAGTATTTTGACAATACACAGACCTTCATTTTACATAGAGAATCTGAAATTATGGCATTAAATGTCAAGGCAAAGATAATGGCGGATAGCATACCCATCTTCCCTTACTCCCATTCTGCCTCTTTCATTATAGTCAATCGTCCTGAAACCTGAACAGACTCCAGGAAGAGTGTATCTACTTTCAAGATAACAAAATAAATAGCTTTAGGTTATACAGGTACACACAGTCATACATACGCACATCATTTTGATTTAAAAATGAATTACATAAATCAAAACAGAGAGAAAAGACGCAGATCAAAGGTTAGAAGGTCTAACACAAAATAAACTTGGGATCGGAGTCACTAACTATGACCCATGGACCAAATCCAGCCCTCCCTCTGCTTTTGTAAATGAAGTTTTCCTGGAACATAGCTACGCCCATTCTTTACATGGTATCTATACCTGTTTTCAACAATTCAACAGCAGAAATGAGTAATAAGAGAGACTGTATAGCTCCCATAGCCTAAAATATTATCTGGAAGCTTGCTGACCAGTTATAGATCAAAAAGAGCATGTCCATCATGCTCTGAATGAGCTAAAGTAACAGAAAATCATCTTTATTCGTGTTCTTGAGCCAGAATAAATGGATTAAAATATCTCCGTATCATATATAGTTACTCTAAATTCTGCTTATTAGTGCAGCCAAAACCAGTTTCCAACTGTTAATTAACAAAAAGTATTAAAAATTTATCTGTGTATAATTGTATTTATATACATATACAGATCTTGATCATATATATAATAGAGAGAGAAAGGAAAACATAGGAGCTAGCCAATTTGAGTATAAGGAAACCTAAAGAAAAATAACTCAAAATATTACTACTAGGAACTGTTATTTGGAACTCTGAATATTTTAGTATATTTTTCTTTATATTTAACAGCATGGGACTATTAATAGGGCCCATACCAGAGGAAAGACAATTTACAATTGCAAATTTTACCCATGAATTATGTGACAAAATCTTTTTGAATATGAAATAACCAGCATTTCTATAAAACACTGCTTTTTAATTATGTATGCAATTAAAGTGATATAGCAAAATAAGAATGTTTTTATTTCTAAAGTAAATATTTTAGTCAAAGTTGCATCAGAAATCAAGTATTTCTTTGACATTTTCAAGAGATTTTACTTATTAACTACAATTATAGTTGTTAGTATTATATAATAACACATTGTTTTAAAATATATTATAAACCTTTTCTTTTTCCTCTTTATATGAAATATAAAATTAAGAATTTTGTAACACGATTCATATTGGAAACGTTTAAAATGTTGTGAGCTACTCTCATACAGAAAATGCTGTGGAATCACATAAAACATTCTAATGATTGAAAGTGCCAGGCACAATGCTTGGCACATATTAGATACTTCATAAATGTTCGTTCACGCATTCTCTCATTTACTCATGCACTCATTAAAAAAACTCCAGGCTTAAGGAGAAACTGCATTATAATGAGAAAGGCAAACACAATCTTTTATCAACAAATTTGGAGTTTTGACAAAGACTTTGGCAATGGAGAGCAGAGAAGATGAGAGGATGATGATTAAGATTTCAAACTGCTTGGTTAAAATCTAGCAAGTATAGCCCTGAGTTGCCCTATATGACATCATAGAGGATCAGGGTCAATACTCCATAAAAAGAACGCATTTCCTTTCAATACCCAGGTTTCATTTTACATATAAACATCTGCTTGAAAGTCAGGAATACGTTGATGTTAGAGAGACATAAAATATGCAACCCACAAGAAAGTAAGAACCACCTGACTGGGGACTTATTTTTCGAGTTGAGACTTCTTTTTGGTTAGGGCCCCATTCTCTTGGTTTTAACAACTTAATACTGGTTGAATAATAATAATAATAATAATAAATCTGGTTTAACATAAAAAGTGTGATTCTAAAATGAAGAGAAATAAATGTAGAAGGAAGAAGAGTGTTCAAAATTCCTGTTTTTTCTATTATGCACCAACTGATCTATCTATTCTGCACATTTGTGCCAAAGGCACAAGGTAAAGTATCAGCTCTTTGAAGAGGCACCTGGAAAGGACCATTTCTGGGCTTTTTGCAGAAGGTCTTATAAATGCAATGAATATTTAACCTGAGTATTAAGGTCTAAAAAATGCAAAGAGCTGTAAAAGACAGAAGAAAGGAAAGAACATTCTTGGAAGCTAAGCATTATATGGGATAAGAATTGATCCTGAAGGAAATAATTTAAAAATCTATAACAAAAATAAAACATGACACTGGCAAGTCATTTGTAGCTGACTTTAATTGCCTTTGGTATTCAGGAGATTAAAAAAAATGGAAGTAATTTTATAAGCTCTAGTCTTTCCATCACACAGAAGGTAGGGAGTGGTAAAGAAGACCCTTCCATTGTCCCTGTCAAATTCTTTGTTTGTACCAGAACTAGCTCTGCTTGCATACTTCCCTGCCTTCTCTTAAGCTTCAGTCATCTGGGTAATACAAATAGAGCACTTGGGAGTAGGGGTTCTGTCTCCTCATTCCTTGAGAAGTTCCTGCGGAACCAAGAAGGTCCCTTTACGCTGCATTCTTCTCAACAAGGTGAAAGAGAATTCAGAGAGTTCATTGCCATCTGCACTGCCTCTCTGGGTCTTGGCCAACTCAGGTTTTTCACTTTTTCTCAGTGATTCATAAGTGGGCTTGTGCTACTTTTATGAGGAAGGCTAATTTTTTTAGAACCAAATACTTTCCCTTTTCCCTTCTACAGTTACAGTAGTATATATAACTTTCTCATTTAGAAATTTAAATGTTCAAGTAGTAAAAGATATTACAATGTCAAAACATGTGCTATAATTTAACTCTCTTAAGGACTATTGTAACTGGCCCTGCATCTTTATTTTCTATGTATACTGAAAACTTTTGCAGTGGTTATCATTTACGGATCATCAGCAGAACTGTCAAAATTAATGATTTGTGGTGTAAGATGATCAACCTTAGAAAATATTATATTAATTAATCAAGTCTTTTCCCAACTTAAAAGCTAAGTTAAAAAGAAAAGCTATCAAACAAGAAAATAAGCCTTCAGAATTCCAAGGTGGGCTTCTTGTATGAACTTTGTTTCATGAAATCTTCAAATTCAGAGTAAATATTATGCTAAACTGTTTCTAACTTTTATTAATGTCAATGGAAGATGTCTATATTAAATGAAAAGAGCAAAAAAGTATCTTGCACTGTCACATAAACTTAAGGACAGAAAATTTGTTAAGCACTAGATATTTATCTTATAGTTCCTGATAAAATTTAAGTTCTTTTTGCCGAAATATAAAGAACTAGTAGTTTATTTAAAAAGAAGTATCAATGCAAAACCTACTGATAAGATAAAAGTCCCTTAGACGTGTTCCAATTTTAGTGTAATACCACCACTCTTTTAACACTGAAAATTGTTCTGAAACTATTCTGATTCTTTGGAATTCTATAATATTCTTGGAGAAAATTAAAATACATAAAATATCTGTGAACAACTCACTCATCTGATGAGATTATAAATAAAAGATCCCCTATCCCTATTCCAGATAGAATATTTAAGAAAGTTTCACTGGGTTTGTTTTGCTTTAATAAGTTATAAAAGTAACTTATTTAGCTTATCAAGGCAAATTTAGAGCTGCCTAATAGTATAGTGAATTTTGCCAAGCCACATAAAAAAAGTTGTAAGTTGAGTGACTCTACTAACTTTATTATGAAATTAAAGTGAATAAAATTTACTTGGTAGATGTGTTGGTCTGGAAAAATAAAGTACCAACAAAACCAAGGATTGCTCTTAGAATAGGTTTCAAGGCAACAAACTGCGGCATCTTCCCACTTTCTGTCACGCTACTAACTGTAGACTGAACTACAAGCAAAAAATCCCAAACCCAGGCTCATAAGTGGTGATTATGATAAACAGCAGTTTCGATGATTCCATATGAAGAAAAAGATTTGAGTATTCTTTGTGAGATCATGGCCCCAGAGAAAATTAAACTTAACCAAGAAATTTCAATGAAATAGATTGGGATTTGAAATGGTTGCCAGTCTGGTCATCCAATGGGGAACTTGAAAATTCAGATAGGGTTAGGTACTCCTATTTCTTTTCTGAGTCTTCTTGTTACTGATACAATTATACTATTCTTTCATTCTTGTTTATTTTAGTTCATTCCATTATTAAAATGGAGAAAAAGTGATAAGCAATATGTAAATATTTGATTTGAATGCTGCTCCACTGTAGGAGGAAACAAATATATAATTGGTTCCAAAGGCCATCTTGAACTCCTGCAAGGTGCTCTATATTCTTGGCTTGCTTTCAGGAAGTCTAGCCTCCAGACTTCAGGACTCTAAAAACAATACAGTAGAAACAGGCAACATTTCTCATGTGACCACCTCATTAACGATCAAAGCACATCCAGGTCTCTGTCCTACATATACCAGAACATGTTTTGGTCAGGTATAAAATGGAATAATTTCAAAGTTGACGTATCTACAAGTTGAAAAGTCTTAGGGGGAATAGTTTCACCCCGTCATGTTGACATAGAGGTCCAGGTTTTCAAAAGCCGCCTCTCCAAACTAATTTCTGTAGTGGTCCATGTAAACAAAACACAGGTGAGAATGGTCCTTCTGGAACTGCTTTCATCGGACAGCAGGATTACCTGAAAGTGTGGTGTTGGCTAAATGTAACACAGGCAGAGGGTGAGCCTCTGTATTAAACACCCAGTGGTCTAAAGGTAAAAGGTCATCACCGGAGAACAGCAGATACAAATATCTGAAAATAAAAAGGGGAGAAATGAGCTTCAGTTAGAATTCAACAAGAACATGAAGTGAGCTCACTTATAATGGCAGAGAAAACCAGCAACCTATTTTGAGCAGCTTTGATGAAAAACATCACAGAAATAAACCTCAGTCACTCAAATGATCTAAACACAAAGACAAGAGGTTTCAGAACAGTGTATAAGAAATCCAGTAAGATGAACAACTAGACCTGCTGAAATAAAACAGTTTAAAAAAAATTCTGGCCAGGCGTGGTGAAGAGGGCAGACACCTTTGTCTTGTTCCTAATCTTAAGAGTAACGCATTCAATTTTTCAATATGATGTTAGCTGTAGGTTTTTCATATATGCCCTTATCAGGTTAAGAAGTTTCCTTCTATTCCTAGTTTGCTGAGAGTTTTTATTAGAAATGGGTGTTGGATTTTGCCAAAGACTTTTTCTGTGTCTACTGAGGTGGTCTTTTTTAGTTCATTGATTGATTTTCAAACGTTAAATCAACCCTCCACACCTGGGATATACCCATTTAGTCATAACGTATTATCTATTTAATTTGTTGTTTGATTTGTCAAAATCTTGTTTAGTTCTATCTATGTTCAGGAGGAATATTTGTTCTGATGAGGACTCTGCTGTCATTCATTTTTCTTCTATAAGTTATTGGGGTACAGGTGGCATTTGGTTACATGAGTAAGTTCTTTACTGGTGATTTGAGAGATTTTGGTGCACTCATAACCTCAGCAGTACATACTGCCTCATATTTGTAGTCTTTTATCCCTCGCCACCCTCCCACTCTTCCCCCAAAGTCCCCAAAGTCCACTGCTCATGCCTTTGTGTCCTCATAGCTTAGCTCCCACATATCAGTGAGAACATACGATGTTTGGTTTTTCCATTCCTGATTTACTTCCCCTAAAATAATAGTTTCCAATCTCATCCAGGTCACTGCAAATGCTGTTAATTGGTTCCTTTTTATAGCTGAGTAGTATTCCATCATATAAATATACCACAGTTTCTTTATCCACTCATTGATTAATGGGCATTTGGGTTGGTTCCATGATTTTACAATTGTGAACTGTGCTGCTATAAACATGCGTGTACAAGTATCTTTTATGTATAAAGACTTCTTTTCCTCTGGGTAGATACCCACTATGGGATTGCTGGATCAAATGGTAGTTCTACTTTTAGAAGTTAATTAGTTCTTTAAGGAATCTCCACACTGTTTTCCATAGTGGTTGTGCTAGTTTACATTCCCACCAGTAGTGCAGAAGTGTTCCCTGATCACTGCATCCATGCCCACATACAGTATTTTTTGATTTTTTTTGATTATGGCCATTCTTGCAGGTGTAAGGTGGTATCACAATGTGGTTTTGATTTGTATTTCCCTGATCATTAGTGATGTTGAGCATTTTTTCATGTTTGTGGGCCACTTGGACATCTTCTTCTGAGAACTGTATATTCATGTCCTTAGCCCACTTTCTGATGAAATTGTTTCTTACTGATTTGAGTTTGGTGCAGATTCTGGATATTAGTCCTCTGTCAGATGTATAGATTGTTAAGATTTTGTCCCGCTCTGTGGGTTGTCTGTTTACTCTGCTGACTGTTCCTTTTGCCGTGCAAAAGCTCTTTAGTTTAATTAAGTCCCAGCTATTTATATTTGTTTTTGTTGCATTCGCTTTTGGGTTCTTGGTCATGAAATCTTTGCCTAAGTCAATGTCTAGAAGGGTTTTTCCAATGTTATCTTCTAGAATTTTTATCGTTTCAGGTGTGAAAGTCCTTAATCCATCTTGAGTTGATTTTTGTATAAAGTGAGAGATGAGGATCCAGTTTCGTTCTTCTACATGTGGCTAGCCAATTATTACAGCACCATTTGTTGAAAAGATGTCTTTTCCCCACTTTATATTTTTGTTTGCTTTATCAAAGATCAGTTGGCTGTAACTATTTGGCTTTATTTCTGGTCTGTTCTGTTCCATTGGTCTATGTGCCTATTTTTATACCAGTACCATGCTGTTTTGGTGACTATGGCCTGAGGTATAGTCTGAAAGCAGGTAGTGTGATGCCTCCAGATTTGTTATTTTTGCTTAGTCTTGCTTTGGCTATATGGGCTCTTTTTTCGTTCCATATGAATTTTAGGATGTTTTTCCTAGTTCTGTGAAGAATGATGGTGGTATTTTGATGGGAATTGCATTGAATTTGTAGATTGCTTTTGGCAGTATGGTCATTTTCACAATATTCATTATACCCATCCATAAGCATGGGATATGTTTCCATCTGTTTGGGTTGTCTGTGACTTCTCTCAGCATGTTTTGTAGTTTTCCTTGTAAAAGTCTTTTGCCTCCTTGGTTAGGTATATTCCTAAGTGTTTTATTTTATTTCATTTTTTGCAGCTATTGTAAAGGGGGCTGAGTTCTTGATTTGATTCTCCACTTGGTCACTGTTGTTGTATAGAAGAGCTACTGATTTGTGTACATTAATTTTGTATCTGGAAACTTTGCTGAATTATTTTATCAGTTCTAGGAGCTTTTTCTGGAGGAGTCTTTAGGGTTTTCAAGGTAAATGATCATATCATCAGCAAACAGTGACAGTTTGACTTCCTCTTTATCAATTTATATGCCCTTTCTTTCTCTTGTCTGATTGCTCTGGCTAAGAGTTCCAGAACTATGTTGAAGAGGAGTGGTGAGAGTGGGCATCCTTGTCTTGTTCCAGTTCTCAGAGGCAATGCTTTTCAACTTTTCCTCATTCAGTATTATGTTTGCTGTGGGTTTGTCACAGATGGCTTTTATTACATTGAGGTATGTCCCTTGTATGCCGATTTTGCTGAGAGTTTTAATCATAAAGGGATGCTGGATTTTGCCAAATGCTGAATCTACTGAGATGATCATGTGATTTTTAGTTCTGTTTACGTAGGGTATCACATTTATTGACTTGCATATGTTAAACCATCCCTGCATCCCTTGTATGAAACCCACTTGATCATGAGGGATTATCTTTCTGATATGTTGTTGGATTCCGTTAGCTAGTATTTTGTAAAGGATTTTAGCATCTAGGTTCATCAAGAATATCAGTCTGTAGTTTTCTTTTTTGGATATGTCCTTTCCTGGTTTTGCTATTAGGGTGATGCTGGCTTCATAGAATGAATTAGGGAGGGTTACTTCTACAATAGTGTCAAAGGATTGGTACCAATTCTTCTTTGAATGTCTGATATAATTCTGCTGTGAATCCATCTGTTCCTGGACTTTTTTTTTGTTGGTAATTTTAAAATTACCATTGCAATCTCTCTGCTTCACTATTGGTCTGTTCAGGGTATCTAATTCTTCCTGATTTAAGCTAGGAGGGTTGTATTTTTCCATGAATTTATCCACCTCTTCTAGGTTTTCTAGTTTATGTGTAAAGGTGTTCATAGCAGCCTTGAATGATGTTTTGTATTTCAGTGGTGTCAGTTGTAATATCTCCTGTTTTGTTTCTTAATGAGATTAACTGAATTTTCTTTCTTTTCTTGGTTAATCTTGCTAACAGTCTATCAATTTTATCTTCTCAAAGAACCAGCTTTTTGTTTCATTCATCTTTTGCATTTTTTTTTGTTTGTTTCAATTTCATTTAGTTCTGCTCTGATCTTGGTTATTTCCTTTCTTCTGCTAGGTTTGAGTTTGGTTTGTTCTTGTTTCTCCAGTTCTTTGAGGTGTGATCTTAGAATGTCAGTTAGCGCTCTTTCGGTCTTTCTGAAGTAGGCATTTAGGGCTGTGAACTTTCCTCTTAGCACTGCCTTTGCTGTATCCCAGAGGTTTTGATAGGCTGTGTCATTACTGTCATTCAATTTGAAGAATTTTTTAATTTCCATCTTGATTTCGTTTTTGACTCAATGCTCATTCAGGAGCAGGTTATTTAATTTCTATGTATTTGCATGGTTTTGAAGGTTCCTTTTGGAGTTGCTTTCCAGTTTAATTCCACTGTGGTCTGAGAGAAGGCTTGATATAATTTCAGATTTCTTAAACTTATTAAGGCTCGTTTTATGGCTTATCATATGGTCCATCTTGGAGAAAGTTCCATGTGCTGTTGAATAGAATGTGTATTCTGCAGTTGTTGGATGGAATGTTCTGTATATATCTGTTAAGTCTATTTATTCCAGGGTATAGCTTAAATCCATTGTTTCTTTGTTGACTTTCTGTCTTGTTGACCTGTCTAGTGCTGTCAGTAGAGTACTGAAGTCCCCTGTTATTGTTGTGTTGCTGTCTATCTGATTTCTTAGGTCTATCAGTAATTGTTTTATAAGTTTGGGAGCTCCAGTGTTAGGTGCATATGTGTTTAGGACTGTGATATTTTCCTGTTGGACAAGACCTTTTATCATTATATAATGTCCCTCTGTCTCTTTTGACTGCTGTTGTTTTAAAGTTTAAAGTAACCGTCATTCTTTTTAAAAATTTTTTCTTTACTTCTTTTTTTAATCAATTTTACTTTCTTCTGCTAATATTTTTACAGAATGGTTTCACCTCATAAAAGATGTGGGCCATCCATAACATTTCATCATAAAAGAAAACATATACCATTCAAAATATACTACATCCCTTTCTGCTACCACGTTTTTATTAGTGAATATGTACTTATAAAAGGGATTTGAACAGTGATTTTCCAAGAATAATGTGAAAAGTAAAAATAGTTTTATCTTTTCTCCAGTATTCATTGCCAAAGTATATGTGCTGCTAAATAACAAGTTTTCTTTTATTCTTAGATAGTTCATATTGGCACTTTTTGGGTTTTTTTAAATTATGCATTTTCACTGGGTAATCAGATGGGCTTCTTCATAATAGGTTTTTGTCATGTTTTATAGTAAACTCTTGCTTTTTCAGAATTTGAAGTCAATCTTCAGCAGCAAATATTTTTATTTTTATGAAATTCATGAGCTGTCATGATACAAAGATCCTCTGCAAAATTACTTTAAGTCTTTCAATTTCCTACATTGACGGTTTAAAATTTTGTGGCTTATTCTTGTTGCCATTTTTATATTTGCT